GTTATGTTCATAGAAATAGGAAAATTCATTTCTAAAGCCCAAGTGGCTGCATTTCAAGAAGGGCCACTTGTTCTGGTGAAAAGTTTGACACCCTCTTTTTCTGCTAGAACCTTATGTCAACTCTCCCTGGCCAGGAATCAGGTCTGAGTAGCCTGCCACCCCAGCAGCCTTACCTGTCAGGACAACAGCCTATGTATCAACAGGTAAGTCTTTGACCAAAATTTCAATGTAATCTCCCCCCAAAATACTTGACCTTATTAGCATTAAGATAGTGACTCTACCAACCCTTGGGCTAAGGGAGCAAGTGCTATTAATTCTTTCCTATAGGAATTCCACTGAAAGAAATGCTGGCTAACTATGCTGGCTTCCATTTATGTTTTGCAGATGGCACCCTCCGGAGGGCCTCCACAACAACAGCCGCCTCCCCAGCAGACCTCTTCCCAGGTGCAGCAAGTGCAAGGGGGAAGTGGAGAGGCTCAGCTTATTTCCTTTGACTAATCTCTTGGGTTACAAGGCAAGGGAGGGATGGGTTTCTAAAACATTGTAAAGCTATCATTTCTTGGTCACTGCTGTACTTGCTACACCATTGCTGTTCCTTTGTGCTGTTCCCTCAATAGGGAGAGAGGAGAGTTGAGCCCTCGGTGTTGGGTAATTTCCCACTGTCTGTCTGCATTTTCCCATTCCACCTGTCAAAAATGCTGCCAGGATCAAGAATCTGTAACATCCTATATGCTGCTACTCGACTATGGAGAGTGAGTGGCCCACAGCCCAACTTGCCTAGCTTTTCATTAGTTGGATAACAGAGCTTAGTTCTCAAGCAGTCGCTGGTATGTAGACCATTCAGGAAACTTCTCTTGGGGAAAATAACATTTAAGCATGCTCCAGAGTCAGAATTTATGAGATCCAGTGTATGGCACTGCCCTGAGCCCGCATTCTCTCTCTCTCAGTGTCACATCTAGCCAAACAAGTGACCTTCACTTTGCCCAGCACACTCAACTTCTTTTCTCACTAATTTTTGACATCTCTCCACCACTTCCCTCCATGTCTTCTGAGAACCCCCTATCTTGAACACAGCCTATCCCAACCCAGTATGTTTTTAAGTCCTCACCCCATCCAACCTATCTGTCCTATGGCTTTGAAGATTTGTGTGTCATACTTAGTGGCTGGTGTAGACAGAATGGAATCAGTGACAATAAAAATAAGTATTTAAACCTTTCCAATCTCTGCTTCTGTTACAGCCCTGTGCTGGTATTTAAGTCTTTGCATAAATATGCATTCTACCAAATAGGTTGTTGGGTTGTGATTACTGAAGTGCTTCAGCAAGAGTACATGACACATGCTGTGTTCCAGGACTCAGGGAATTTTCACCCATTTTACCAAATGAAGAATTTGTAGAACTATCTAGCTTCATAATCGAAAGTTTTATATCCAAATAGAAGGGCCAAGGAGGTGCAGAGCCCTGCACAAATCCTTCCACTCACCCACCAGGCCAATTGGAGCCAGCAGTTTTAGCAATAGCAATAACACTTGCTTATATACTGCTTCATAGTGCTTTACAGTCTTCTCTAAGCCATTTACTGACCCTCAGGGGCTTCTTCTCATCTCCAGTTCGAGAAACATTACCTTCATGCTCTTAGTATCTTGGATGGTCTTCAGCCTGTTTCAGCAATAGTCTATCTAGGAAAGGGAGCATTATTTGGAGGATGTGTCTTCAACAAGACTATTTAACAATTAGCAGTTTAATGGGTTTATATGCCGCCCAATCCCGGGGGACTCAGGGCGGCTTCCAAATACAAATGAAATAAAATAACACAGAGGTGGAGAATACAAACAATACAAACAATATTAAAAACATACATCCGGTTTAATTGGGGGTTGAACCTGATTTGAATCCGCAACCCCTGGCCTGCCGGAACAGCCAGGTCTTGGTGGCTTTTTGGAAGGCGGCAAGGGTGGGAAGGGTCCAGATCTCTGTTGGTAGCTCGTTCCACAGAGCCGGAGCAGCTATAGAA